ACGACGTTCCCACAGCCGGCCACTTAGGGCAAGAGAAAACACTCGCCCGCGTTCGGCGCTTCTACTTTTGGCCCTCACTACTCAAGGACGTCCGAAATTATGTGCGAGTCTGTCAGATTTGCCAGCAATGCAAGGTGGAGCAACGTCCCCCTTACGGGTATATGGGGCGTCGCTCGACAAGCCGCCCGTGGCAAGTTGTGGCGGGCGACATATCCGGACCGCTACCCAGGACAGCACGTGGATATTCGTACATGCTCGTCTTCGTGGATCTCTTTACGCGTTGGGTAGAGTGTATTCCGATCCGGAAAGCCAACGCTAAGACGATAGCGAAGGAGTTCCACGAGAAAGTACTGACGCGTTTCGGTACACCGGAGACGTTTCTGTCGGACAATGGAACAGAATTCAGAAATCGACACTTCGACGAATATCTCTCAGAGCAGGGTATCCTCCACGAGCTAACGCCCGTCTACTACCCTAGGGCGAATCCCACAGAGCGGTATAATCGTACCCTCAAGACAATGATCAAGTCGTATCTTGAAGGGCGACATAACGAGTGGGACGTGAAACTCAGTGATTTGGTATTCGCACTAAATACAGCGAAACACAGCACGACGAAGGTGAGTCCAGCGATGTTGAATTACGGGCGGCAACCGACCCCACCACGTACGTGGCGCCGTACTCAAGACGCCCTCGCTAGTGGAAAGGACGACGAGAGAGGGCGACAGGACTGGGCAAACCGCATGGGAGGCCTAACTACGCTATATCAGGAAGCGGCGAACAGATCAGAAATAGAGCAAGGACGACAGGCGAGCCTTTTCGACCGGAAGCGCCGCCCCGCTCCCTTTAAAGTCGGAGACTGGGTTTGGCGAGTGAACCGCGTCCTATCTTCAACCGACAGTGGAGTCACGGCGAAGTTGGCGCCGACATTCGCGGGGCCGTATACGGTGAGAGAAAAATTAGGCCCCAATACATATCACCTGGCGAATCATCTGGAGGACCTCGTCGGAGTGGTTCATGCCGAAGACTTGAAGCCTTTCCACCAGGAGGGGGAAGGTGAAGAGGACGAGCTTACCCAACCACCGAAGGGAAGCGAGGCGAAGCGCGACACGCCCCAGGAAGGTAATCGGTCACCACAAGACGCAAGCGCGAGCCCAGAGGAAGAACCACTGCCCGAAAACAAGGGCGAAGACGCATCAGACGGAGACCCGGGAGATCAAAACCCCGTCGCACCGGTTAAGAGGGGGCGAGGCCGCCCGCGGAAAATCCCCGCCCCAGCTCTCGAATTACCGCTAGTAGGACGTCCCCGAGGCCGACCACGGAAAAGCGTAAAAGTGGTCCGCCGGACGAGCGTGCGAATTAGAGCAACGCGAGTGGGCGAGCCGACTCATTAAATCATCTAAGTTTCATCTTTTTCCTTCAGTCTGATGGGCTCCCTATCCTACCTCTTCATCAAAACCACATAACTCCTTTACAGGATGGAAAGCGCCCTTCACGAGGCCGTGGAGTGGCTCGTCGAAAACGTGGAGCGCCTACAGCTCGAGCCCGAGAAGAGGGCCGTCTTCATCACGGCCCGTAGGCGATTTCGCGATGCCCTGCGGCGCGCATCGACCATCGAGGACGACAAGAAACGAGCCTCGGAACTGCTGGAAGTCGCGAACCTGCTGGCCGATGCCCTGTGGGCTTCCAAATTAGGACGGGCGCTCCAGCATTTGTTGGACGGGGCGAAGGCCCGCTTCGCCCTTGCGCTGCAGCGCGCGCGGAAGGAACCGGATCTTCCAGCGTACCTGCGGAAAATAGGACCAGAGGCAACTATCCACGAGGCCCGTGGGGCCACGGAGGGGTTACCCATAAATACCGCGGGGCGGCCCGGGCTATGCCCACCGCTCAAGAACGATCTCCGTAAGGAATTGTTCTCGCGATATATCCCGATGGGGACCTCTAAACCAAGGCCCAGGCCCCGGGTCGTGGAATTGATAGACCTCGTAGACGACGAGGAAGAAGGAGTCGCCTCCCCTCCCAGACCACCCGGGAAGGAAGAGACACCGCCGGAACCTACCTCTTCCGAGGAAGATCGATCCATCCCTGGCGGGGAAGCCCGGCGGTCGGAGGCACCGCAGCTCGCCGAGCCGCCTATGGACAACGGAAAGAGCGAGCGCGCGGCACCAGAAGGTCCGGACGGCACTCCCACTCCCACCCGGAAGGAGGGCGAAACCCCCAGCATCGTCGGGGACATAAGACCGCTATCCGAGGTTGGGGAACCCGCCCACGCAGCCCGGCGGAGCCACAGAACGCCGACACCCGACCACCCCTTCGACGAAGAGGATTGGCCCACTTCGCCTCTGTCTTGGGGTGAGGCGGCGTCGCCGGAGGAACGGTGGCGGGTGATGGAGAGGGGCCTCCGGGAACTGGAGAACGCCTGGAAGTTTATTAGCCAGCGAAACTCCAGGCGTACAACGACCTACCGGGGACCCACCCCTCCGTCGAGATCTGGATGGACCGGGTGTTGAGATGGCAGGCCTATCGCGACGCCATCGTAAACATCCGGCGAACCCAGAAATTCGCAGGGCAGACACCTCGGAGGATGCCCGAACACCCGGCCTCAGCCAACAAGACGCCAGGGCGAAGTCGGAACCCTTCGCCCTACAGGATAAGCGTAGATGCGTCCCCGTCAGGCCTCGGTTCCGTCAACATCACCATCAACCTGGAGGGCGGACGATCTAGAGAGCGGGCGAGGGAAAAATCGCGCCCTCGCCCTGATCAAACTTCCCAGACGCAAGGTCGGGCACATTTGAGGCAGCCCAACCCCAATATCGTCGACCCCTTAGGGGTGCGCGACGGGAAGTCGCGGAAGGACGACCAGGGCTGTTACGTCTGCGGGCATCCTGGAGTAGCCAAGTCCAGCCGATGCCCACGAATAGAAGAGCACGGGGCTGCCCGACGAGATCGAAGGAAAAGAAGAAGGACCGATCCCGAAGAACAAGAAAACAGGATATACGGCGGCGGATGAAAACTAATAAATAAGTTGAAACGATGAAAGAGATAAGTGCGAAGTCTATTTCCCCTGGTCATCTCAATCCCACCCAAAAGAAATCCCTATCCGTCCATCTCTCACTCACCATATCAGGGCGCTTGGACACAGATCGTCGCCGAGGTCGACCCCGCATCGGACGACTAGGGGGAGGCTGTAACGAGCGTCGCTCGTTAAAGGTGTGACCTAAGCGCCCCTATCGCGTGCAGCTACCTAAAAGCCGGTCCGCAGAAAAGAACACGAGAAGGAGAAGCGCCCGCGAGGCGAACGAGCGAAGGAGCGAGAGAGAGGAGAGAGATTAGGACGCCGAGCAGCGCGAGTTAGGCGCGTGTACCGCGAGACATTAGAAATAATAAGAAGGGGAAAGAGAGCGATCGGGCCGCCGGCCGGCGTGCGCGCGACAACGGAAGAGGGAATGGGGAAAGTCAGTCAAGTCCGGACCTGCGGACAGCAAGAGCACAAGTGACGAGTGATTAAGACAGTGAGATTCGAGGAGCAACCCGACCGATAGCGTACGCAGACACAGTGCCCCAGAGATCGCCCAGAGAACATCTCTCGGATAAAGGTCCTTTCGCTGACCATTATTAGTTGCCCAGAGCGATCTGAGGCAACAGCCGAGGGTCGCGGGCAACTGCAGATTCGGGCGGCGAAAACCCCGACTGAGAGGTCCGTCTCCGAGAAGTAGCAAGGATCAACGCGGCCTGCGCGCACCACCAGAGCTACTCGGTCCCCAGTGACTTGTCCCCACAGCGTAAGTCTCCGACTTTGTACGTAAATGCGTGCGGACGGAAAGCGCGGTTAGATAGTGCGCCTTCTTTCTCTCTCTCGCCGCGTGCGCGAGACACTCGACAAAATCTCTCGGCCGTGGCGTTGTGATTGTACGATCGAAGCGACAAGCATAAATAAAGACATCGATTCTTCTAACAAACGACCGAGAGTTCTTTCTTTCAAATCCCCTTGGTTTTTCACTCCCGACGCCCACGACAGAACCTGCCCGACCACGAGTCACTGGGCAACCCGGATCTCCACACGTGCCTTGCACGTGTAGGTTATTCACAGGCTCTGGGGCGGAACGTCGAAAGATCGACGCCGTTCGAACGAGTCGAGGCGGCGGTCAGCCTCGCGACGCTGGGAACAACCATCCCTTAACGGGTAAGATTTCCGTTCACTCCCCGAACGAAGTATCCCGTTACAATTCTTAATATATTTATCATTTAAAATATTTGGAAAATAATATTACTATAAAATAAAAAATGATTCTAGTTTTAAAAGCTTATATAAATTATTCTTAATTTTTTCCACTCCTGATGTTTGATAATTATATTAGTAATCTTGATCTTAGGAGTCATCCCTATAAATAAACTACACACTTATTTTATTATAAACGTTTCACAATTTTATTTATTGCCACCTCAGTACATGTTTTGTAATGTAGATAAAATTGAATAAATTAAAAGTTCTTCCGCACATATATAGTCTGTTATAAACATTACACTTTATACGTGTAACAGACGTATAACGTATAACAGACTATATATGTGCGGAAGAACTTTTAATTTATTCAATTTTATCTACATTACAAAACATGTACTGAGGTGGCAATAAATAAAATTGCGAAACGTTTATAATAAAATAAGTGTGTAGTTTATTTATAGGGATGACTCCTAAGATCAAGATTACTAATATAATTATTTTAAAAGCTTATACTGAAAATTCAATGCAGTGAAATAAACTCTTTATTGCTCATTGTTCATTCATTACTTAGAAGTTAAATCCAATAAGTAAGGCAAAACACCTAATAATTTTTTTAATCTCATTTTTGAATCTCACAAACCAAGCAAGTAAGATGAATAATTGTAATAATTCATTTCGCTATATTGAACTTTTGGAATCAGCTTGTAAGATCAAAATAATTTTTGATTATATTAAAATAAACAGTTTCATTATAATGTTTTCATGTTCATTATTCTAGCATTGGAAGACCAAAGCATACAAGAGTTATGGCAGGTGCGTTAGAAGGAGATTTCTTTGTCGGTCCTGTCGCTGAAGAACATCGTGGATTACTGTCTCTCCATTATCCAATGGAGCATGGTATAGTTAATGATTGGAATGACATGGAACGCATTTGGTCTTATGTTTATAGTAAAGATCAATTGTCAACATTTAGCGAAGAGCACCCAGTTTTATTGACTGAAGCACCTCTCAATCCTTGGAAAAATCGTGAAAAAGCGGCAGAACTATTTTTTGAATCATTCAATGTTCCAGCATTATTCGTTTCAGTACAAGCAGTTCTAAGTTTGTTAGTGGATTTTAAGCATATCATTATACTGCTGAAAATTTTACAATTATTGTTTATTAAATCACAAAAAATTAGATTATTTCCACTGTCTATGGTAAACTTCCTCATTATTAACATAAGAGGGAAATGTCCTTAATTAATTTTAAGTGTGAATCATAGTATTACCATGAAAGTAAGACAGATAAAGGCTGGGTCGGATAGCATTATTAGAATTATCCAATTATTATTGTTATTGTTGTTGTAACTTTAAGAACTTCGTCCAAGTAGAACGCTGTAGAGGTACACTAGGTATCTGTATGCATTAGTCTTGGTTCCCTATAGTTACAAGTAAGTAGACTCACCTTACCTACCATTTTTTGAAACAGTACGAGAGGACAAAGTTTTATGTGTACCATGACTGGATCTACATTTTAAGGTGAAATTCGAACCATCGATGAAACGGTAACAAATGTATGAAAATTTCATTTTTGAAAATCCTCATATACCTGGGGCTTAAATCTACGGTCTCTTACACAGAAGTTTGAATTATTACCTACTGAGCCACTGTAACTTCATAGCATAATTCATAGTATAATCGAAAAAACTATTATATATTCTCGATATTTAATACTTTAATACTCTAACTAGAATATCCATCCCCTTTTCACTCTATTATTATATCAATCGCCGAACTTCAAAAAATTGGCGTCGTAAAAATAATGCCGTATCTGATGACACACGAACGGCTAATCTACTACTGTGGGCAAAAAGTAAGGTGAATTTTCAATTTAAACTTCGCGGGCTTAACATTTCGGGCTAGTTCTTTTTTTCTTGAGTTGGTAGGACTGCGAATGACATCTGGGACAAATTTCATGTCAATGTCATCAGTAATATATTTACGCTTGTGTTTACCAAACGACCAAGAGTGCATGTTTCGATTTTTACAATGTCTGATTTAATTGAGCAAAGAAGTGCCATCAAATTTTGTTTGCGGAATGAAATTTTGGCTGCGGAAACGTTGAGGATGTTGCGGAAGGCCTTTGGTGATTCTACCATGTCGCAGAAAAATGTTTATAAGTGGTACAAAGACTTCAAAGAGGGTCGAGAACGTGTTGATGACTTGGAGCGCTCCGGACGACCATCGACGTCAACAGATGACCAACACGTCAATAAAGTGAAGGAATTAGTGCTCGAAAATCGTCGGTTGACTGTTAGAGACCTTACTGATATGATCGGAATATCAGAAGGATCTGTGAAAACAATTTTGAAAGACCATTTGGGCCTACGAAAAGTCAAATCTCGTTTGGTACCGAAAACGCTCAATTTCTTGCAAAAAATTCGCCAAAAATTCGACGCATATCGTTCCGCAACCACCGTATTCGCCTGATTTGGCTCCGTGTGACTTCTGGCTATTCCCAAAACTCAAGAGACCACTCCGGGGAACGCGTTTCGAGTCGATTGAGGAGATAAGAGCTGAATCGAAGAAGGCGCTGATGGCTATACCGGAAAGGGACTATTTGGCATGTTTCGAGGATTGGAAAAAACGTTGGCATAGGTGTATTTTATCGGGAGGGGATTACTTCGAAGGGGATGACATTGATGTAGAAGAATAAATAAAGATTTTTCATTTTACAAACAAATTCACCTTACTTTTTGCCCACAGTAGTAAGAGTAGCAGATGTAAAAAAATTGTGACTCAGACAAACGAGTACCACAGAACACAAACCTCATGTCATAATCCAAGGAAACGATAATGTAGATGACAAAAAAACGCTATTTCATGTGCACACAATATATACATACATAAGCATACACAAACTGCAATTGTGAGAAAACTATGACGTTTCACTACATATACACACACACGTCCTTTGTTTTCTTCATCGGTCAAATTTCCTTGACTCTATTAACCCATTTCTTATTCAAATCTTATTTTATTCTTTTCGAATGCTATCAACCTAATAAGGAGTATACTTGACATAGTCGTAAACCATGACCCATGTCTTGACCTCTAAATCGTGCCGATAGGCGATAGCGGCTTCGAAGACTATTTGGTATTGTAATGCGTATGAATTTCTATTGATCGTATATTAGTATACTCATGCGACTTGAATTTTTTTAAGATAATAAACTTTTTTTTAAATTTTTTTGAGATAAAGGAAGCGTATGTAAATGAAAATAATATATGTACCCATTTCTCCAAGATACGCTGTTCATCAAATTCATTTTGTTGGTCCTGTATACAGACAACATTGAAACCGTGATGAAATCCTAGTCATTTATTTATATTAAAGTCCATCCTTTTAATTTTAGATTTGTTCTAAGTTTCAATGTGCAGAGCTTCATTATACGCTTATGGAAGGGTTGCAGACTGCTTTATATCGACTAGGACATCGATAAACGTTTTTACTGTGGAATTGGTAATGGATGTCATTATAATAGAATTATAGGTTTCGCCAAGTTCTTCTTTTAGCATGTTCTCCGCGCAGTTTAACAAGAAATTAATACAGTGATGGAAATTTTCAACCGTATTTCCCGGTTTCATTTTCAAACTATGTATTTTAGAGTCATAATAAACGAAATATTTACAAGGAGAGAATCGTTCCTTGAGTATTTTAATCAATTCTTCTATTGTAGCTTGTCTCCTTCCATAAATACAGTTTCTAGCGGGTCCGAGCAGTTTTGCTATAATTTGTCGGATAAATTTTGGTTCCTAACCTTTGGCAATAAGCTGTTTCCCATTACGGACACCTTGTATACAATCTTTTAATGAAATATTCTTACCGTCAAATTCGGGAATTTCCTGTACAATATTCTGCAGCGAAAGCTGGTAAACATATAATCAGGAGCTCAAAGGTCACTTGTTCTATCATTGTTATTTCCATTAATTATCCATTAATCAAGCAAATTAATCGCAACGGGGTTAGTTATTCTTCGGGGGGAGGGGGGGGGAGCTAATGCGCAGAGGTTGTAGATAGACCTGTGCTCTCATTTACGTGGCGCGCGTGATTCTGCGTCACTGTGCATAGTTTAGCACATCGTACACATTTATTCGCGTAGGCCACTGTGATATAACGTCATGACGCGAGTCCCGTGCTGTGTTTTTACCTTGCCGATCACGGTGTTGGCTTCTTCGTACAGATTCCTTGTTGGTTACGTTCGACGATGCAGTCGTCTGCTGTTGCTCTGTACGAGGAGAGGAGCGTCTCGGCTCGCTCACAAAAGTGGCGCCACGAAATCGTGAAAGTGCAGACCCATACAATGAATACGTTCGTGCATAGAATAGGATTGGGTGTAGGTTGGGTTCACCAGTAGAATTATGTCGAACTTTAATATTTTGGTGGTAGCTCTGAGGCAGATTTATTTTCCTTCATGATCGCCATAATTACAAGAAAGAACTTCGGTCTATGCTTGGAAAATATGAAATACTTTACCGCGTGGTGGATATGGGTTCTACCATTTTGATTTTTTGTACCGCGACCGCTATACACATTATGGAAACCCAGGACAAAACGTTTTATTTATTCAATCGAATGACAATCTCTCGTGAGATCGTCCGCTCACTGTTACGGCTTAATGAATGCTGTGTCACCGAGAAAGAAGGATTAAACTATACATACATATAAAGTGCGGATATTATTCAGCTTACATGCGACTCGGAGCGGATCACTTCTCGTCGTCTCGTCTACAAAACGCCGTTGTGTTCCTCTTCTCGAGAAGATGATCAGTTGGAGCTTAGGTACTACTGTGGGCAAAAAGTAAGGTGAATTTGTTTGTAAAATGAAAAATCTTTATTTATTCTTCTACATCAATGTCATCCCCTTCGAAGTAATCCCCTCCCGATAAAATACACTTATGCCAACGTTTTTTCCAATCCTCGAAACATGCCAAATAGTCCCTTTCCGGTATAGCCATCAGCGCCTTCTTCGATTCAGCTCTTATCTCCTCAATCGACTCGAAACGCGTTCCCCGGAGTGGTCTCTTGAGTTTTGGGAATAGCCAGAAGTCACACGGAGCCAAATCAGGCGAATACGGTGGTTGCGGAACGATATGCGTCGAATTTTTGGCGAAATGGTCACGAAGAACGAGTGCAGTGTGAGATGGTGCATTATCGTGATGCAAAAACCAAGAGTTGTTGGCCCATAATTCTGGTCTTTTTAGACGAATTGCTTCACGCAAACGACGCATAACGCTCAAATAATATTCCTTATTAACAGTTTGGCCGGGTGGAAGGAATTCATAGTGCACCACACCACGAAAATCGAAGAAAACTGTCATCATGACCTTGATTTTTGAACGACTTTGACGTGCTCTTTTCGGTCTGGCCTCGCCTTTAGCACGATATTCGCTTGATTGGTCGGTTGTTTCAGGGTCGTAAGCATAAATCCAAGTCTCATCTCCCGTAATCATGCATTTGAGCTTGTCCCGATAGTCAGAAAGCATTGTTTCACACACATCAACGCGGCGACTTTTTTGCAAGAAATTGAGCGTTTTCGGTACCAAACGAGATTTGACTTTTCGTAGGCCCAAATGGTCTTTCAAAATTGTTTTCACAGATCCTTCTGATATTCCGATCATATCAGTAAGGTCTCTAACAGTCAACCGACGATTTTCGAGCACTAATTCCTTCACTTTATTGACGTGTTGGTCATCTATTGACGTCGATGGTCGTCCGGAGCGCTCCAAGTCATGAACACGTTCTCGACCCTCTTTGAAGTCTTTGTACCACTTATAAACATTTTTTTGCGACATGGTAGAATCACCAAAGGCCTTCCGCAACATCCTCAACGTTTCCGCAGCCGAAATTTCATTCCGCAAACAAAATTTGATGGCACTTCTTTGCTCAATTAAATCAGACATTGTAAAAATCGAAACATGCACTCTTGGTCGTTTGGTAAACAGAAGCGTAAATATATTACTGATGATGACATTGACATGAAATTTGTCCCAGATGTCCTTCGCAGTCCTACCAACTCAAGAAAAAAAGAACTAGCCCGAAATGTTACGCCCGCGAAGTTTAA